TTCTCTTGTACATGGCCTTCCTGGAATACATGGCAGACCGGGAGTATCTGCCAATGCCCCAGACTAGAATGGGTTTCAGCTGCAATGGGGCTTCCCCTCCTTGGGCTTTTTAGCCTTGGTGTCACCCTTTTTAACCTTGCCACTGGCATCAGCATTCTTGGCTTCAGGTTTCTTCTCCTTAGTATCCTGCTTAGCAGTTTTTTCATCTGCCATCTTGTATAGGGGGAAAGAGAACTAAACTCCAACAATGTAGTTGTATTTTAAGCTAATTTTAGTTTTAAAAAAGAATACAAAATTTTAAAACAAGTTTTAAAATTAATTAAGTATGTTGTTCTCATTTTTTCTTTTGGTTGTTTTTGCATCTTTACGATGGAATGGTTTATGCTGGAGACTTTTTCTCCAAGGTGAGAAATTCTTTCTTCTGTATGGTCCATCTGCATGGTCAATGCTTTCTAGGGAGATTTTAATTTCTTATATTGTATTCTTCATTTCCAGAGTTCTGTTTGACCCTTTTTAGGGTATCGATCTCTTCACAGAATTCTTTTTCATATCCTGAAATGATTTTCTCATTTCCTGGAACTAATTGTTTTTTTCTTGCATCTCATTAAGTTTTTTCATTACGAATGCTTGGGATTCCTTTTCTGAAATTTCTAAGTATTCCTTTGTGCTGTCCATCATTGGTAAGGGGATACTGCACCCACTTGTGGGAGAGTCACCCCTTATTTTCTCATGTTTCTTTGAGATCTGTGTTGGCTTTTGGTCATCAGATGCTGTATTCACATTTCCCTATTTATTGAAGTAGATTCTGTACTGCTGGAAAAGAAAATTTTACCCTTAGTTCCTAGGTGTGTTCCTACTGGGGGACAGTGTCTCCCAGATCAGAGCAATAAAAAGTAACGTCAGGCATTTGTCTCCTCTACCAAACTTTCAGTTCTTAATGAGGTGAGACAAGGTAAGAAGATATAATAACATAGTGAAGACTGCCAAGTCACTGCCGTGCACAGGGCAGTATGCTACAAGTTCCAAAGCTACTCCTAGGGGCAAAGAGTGCAATCATGAGAGGAGGCATGCTGAGACCAGGTCCATGACTCCCAGTGGGTGGGCCTAACCCTGGTCACTAGAGTGCCATGAAGTAGAGTGCTACGCAGTAGAGTGCCACAATTACAAGTTACTCCCGAGGACAAAGGGTACACTCACAAGAGGAGGCCTTCTAAGACCAGGCCCAAGTCTCCCAATGGATGGGCCGAGCCCAGACTGCTAGAGTGTTGGGCAACTGAGTGCTACAAATTATAAGCTATACCCTGGGGCAAAGGGTGCACTTAGGACAAACCTCCCTAGACTAGGCCTAAGTCTCTCAGTGGGTAAGGCCCTAAGTTAATCTTGTACAGCTCAACAATATGGTTATGTTTTAAGCTAATTTTAGTTTTAGAAAAGTGTACAAAAATATAGAACAATTTTTAAAGCTAATAAAGTAAAGAAGTTGTAGTGGGGCCAAGTAATAGCACAGTGGTAGCACAGCAGAGTCAACATGGGAATGGTGCTGGGTTCACAACTCCAGATCTCCTGGAGTATGCCAGACATACACACATGTGCCTGTGACCCAGGCCAGTTGAGACTGGGGGAGGAACACAGTGTGAGGAACCAGTTGGGGGTGCCTAGCTCTTTCTTCAATGGAGAAGTAAATAAAATTTTAAATGAAGAAATATGAAGTTACAATAAGCTAAGATTAATTTATCACTGCAACAAAAAATATTTTTACAAACTCAAGGTAGCCCAAGTATACAAGGTTTATAAAACCTATAGTAGTGTATAATTATATACTATATGCTTCATTCACCACTCACTTGCTGAGTTACTAAGAGCAATGTCAGTCTTCTGAGCTCCCTTTATGGCAACTATCCTATACAGGTGAACCACTTTTTGTCTTTTATAGTGTATTTTCAAGTATCTTTTCTGTTTATACATGTTTAGGTACACAAAGAATTACCACTGTGTTAATTGTCTACAGTATTCAGTACAGTAGTACACTGTACAAATTTATGACCTAGGAGCAACAGGATATAGTCCAGATACATAGCAGATTATACCATCTAGTGCATTGTCAGAAAAGTCAAGAAGCATTTTTGCATTAAAAAAAAAAAAATCATGATTTTTCCGACAATCCAATATGTTTGTGTTACATACAATGATATTTCTCAAAACATATCATTCACAAAATGATATATGACTATAAGTACTTTTCATCATAGTATGAAAACCATGATATAGTATATTAACATCAAGAAGTACATAGCTGGGACCAGCAGATGGTATGGTAGTTAAAGTGCTGGACTCCCACATGCTCAATGGCTGAAGGAGTCCTGGACTCGGTGGCTTGAAAATTATTCCAGATACATACCCAAAAATCACAAAAGGAGAATGGAGGAAAAAGGACTGTAGAATTCCCCACCCTCAGGACTGATTTCTCATTTGCCCTCTTACTGTCTCTTTCTAGGGAGCTCATACAACTAGAGTGTTACTCTTTCAAACACTACTGAGAGCTGGTCTGTAATTATGATATATTATGAATATGTATTTGAAAATTTTTGATTTGAAAAAACTTGGATGACTACAAGACTGTAACTTCATAAATGTCACAGAAACTTACTAAACTGTTTATTTAAACAATGATTCTTAACCAGATTTAAGAATTAATAACTTTCTTGAGAGATTTTTACAATAGTGTGTGTGTGCTCACTGGAGAGACAAAGAGAGATAGAGACACAACACAAGAAATCACCCCCAAGGCGGAATGGTCATGCCACAGTCCCTTCTCTTTCATTCTTCTCTTGGAATTTTGGGCATGCTTGTGCACGCACATGGGAAGAGTTTTAAGCTGACGGGTCAGGGACTCACACTGCGGTCCCTGTGTGGAAGTCCAGCAATTTAACCATTATGCCACCTGCTAGTTCCAAAATTAATTACTTTTAAAAACAGGATCTCAGACTCTATTACCCACCTCCCTCCAAAGAGAAACATCTTGGGACCAGCAGTTAGAGTAATGGCTATGTCGCTGGACTACCAAGTAGTCGACCGTGGTTCGAGTCCCGGACCCGGTGGCTTAACTCATGCCGGGCGTGTGTGCATGCATGCCCAAGATCCCAAGAGGAGAATGGAGGAGAAGAGATTGCGGCGTGACCATCCCACCTGGGAGGTGATTTCTTGCTTTCTGTCTCTCTGTCTGGCGAGCGCATGTGCCCTATAGCAAAAACCTCTCAAAAAAAAAACAGAGAAACATCTTCATGAATTCAAACTCTTTAGAAAAAATATTTATAGGGATCAGCACTTAGCGTAAAGGCTATGTCACTGGACTCCCATGTAGTCGACCATGGTTCGAGTCCCGCACCCGGTGACTTAAACTCACGTCAGGCACGTGTGTGTGCGTACCCAAGATCCCGAGAGGAGAATGGAGGAGAAGGGATTGCGGCGTGGCCATACCCCCTGGGGGAGGTGATTTTTCGTTTTCTGTCTCTGTCTTTCTGGTGAGCGCACGTGCCCTATAGCAAAAACCTCTCAAAAATTAAAAATATATAAATATATATTTATATTCACTAATAGTTAGGTTACTCAATTTCCATAAAGCAACTTACTAAGAGATTTATTATTATTTAAAATGTGTAATATTTGCCAAGAATACTAAGGAGTTTTAATGGATAGAACAGTTTTTTACAGAATAAACTATTCAGTATCAAAACTGAATTAGCAGCAATATCAAGCCCTATCTCGTACGTTACATGAAACCCAAGCCAAACAGAGAGGTTACACAATGGCTCTCCAACTGGCAGTTTTAGTCTTCAAAGCTTCTAGGCACCAACATATGAGTGAAAAAGTCTTCCAGTGATTCCAACAGCTGCCAGATTTGAATCTTTGATTAAACCCCTAAGATGGAATATAGACTAGTCATCCCTGATGTGCTCTATCTAAATTCTTGACACACAAAACCCACTGCCATATTAAAACAGTTGCTCTTTGTCACTAAATTTGGGATGGTTTGATATGTAGAAAAAGGTAACTAGGATACTCCCTTAGCTTCTGTGATTCAATCTCTCCATATGTAATATGAAACTAAAAGTTCCTATCTGATTAGGCTATTGAGAAGTATAATGGAAATAGTAAATGTGAAACACTCAGCACAGTGCTTCAAACATAATAAAGGCTCAATAAATGTTAACTATTATTGCCCACCAAATGGAAATTAAAATGCCTTTTGTATAAATGCAATGGAAGTTTACAAAAACATAAGCATTAGTGATAAATGATATTACAAGATATTACAGATACAAAATCATTCCCTGCTATAATATCTGACATTGAAACTTATATTTTGGAAATGGGTGGGCTAGCTCCATAGTGCAGTAGTTAAGTATTGTACACAGGAAGTGAAATCCTACGTGGCTGACCACAGTTTGAATCCTAGCCCCAGGGGCTTAAAAAACACGCCAGGTGCCATGTGTGGGTCCCAAACTTAATGGGGTTCAGAAATAGGCAAAAAAGAACTACAATGTGACCGTGCTTATTTGCGGGGAGGAGATGCCTTCTCTGGTAACCATATGCACACTCTAACAATGGAAACAAAGAAAGAAAATAGATCTTTAGCTGCCAAATGGGAATTTAACATTCCTTCAATGATAAATGCAGAGATGTGAAAGGTTATTTTTTAAATATTTTAAAATCTCACTCTAAGATATTAAAATGTGGGAAAACATTTTTGGTTAATATTTTAATATTACATTAATTTTTAGCAAAGTTTGTTTCTGTTCCTAAAGGCAATATATACAAATACAATACACAAGTATTAGGTATGCAGCAAGGACGACTAAGGAAGGTTTGCACCTTAAGATTTCACAAAGAGACTAACACAAAAATTTTCATAAAAATATTAATATCCTCACAAAGCATTTTTCTAAAACCCAGAGCAGTGATTTAAGCTGCTTTATCTCTAATATATGTGTCTTCCTTACCTCTTCATTAATATCAATAACATCTCCCACTTTCAGCTCCAGTTCATCTTCATTTTGTGGAATGTATTCAAAAAGAACTCTACACTGCCGCTTCTTAGTCTCTAAAGGAAGAAACAACATAAGAAAATTAGATTAAGAAAGATAAGTTTTAAAAATAGCATCTTTATTTACACAGCATGTTTACATTCATGAGACTTATACATGAAGACAACACATTCTGAGCAGCAAACCACAATCAGTTTAGGTTGGATTTTAGGCCTGCCCTTACACTACAGTGTATGCATCCTCAGATAAATTCAAATACAAATAAAGTATAAGGCCTTCCAGCATTATTATCTATGTGTATACATCTGATCCCACCAATTATTCAAAATATCCATTGCCAATTTTAAGACTAGAAAATCAGAAAACAAAAGTTGGTTTTGGTAATTACAGACAACATCTCCAGGACAGTCATTTTCAGATTATTTCCTAATCAAAGTCTAGGAATATTTAAAATGTACTACTTTCTAAAGTGTCTTTTGTGGGTTGGGCCCATAGGCCAGGGATTAAGTGCTGTGCCTGGGGGCCAGATTCCACATGGATGAAGGCAGTTCAAGTCCTAGTTCCAATGACTTGAAAAACATGCTGGGCACAGGCGCACGCATGCCCCAAATCCTGATGGGATAGAGACATGGAGGAAAAATGACTGCACTCCGTTGGAGGATACTCGTCTTTTCTCTCTGGTGTGTGCACTTGTCCTCTAACAATTTTTTCTTTTTCAAGTGTCTGTTGTTAAAAAGAAGCAAAATGTACAAACCAAAACCAAAAACGTATTTTGTTTTATTTAGTATCTCTTATTTTCTAACAGATAAAAATCCAACTCTCAGGACCAGCTGGTGGTGTGAAGGTTAGGGCACTGAATCCTAGGGCACTGAATCCCACATGGCTGACTGGTTGGTTCAAGTCCTGGACATGGAGACTTGAAAACACATAGGGTGTGATGTACATGCATGCCAAAAATCCCAAGAAGGGAATGAAGCAGAAGGGACTGCGATATGGCCATCCTCCCTGAGAGGTGATTTTTCTCTTTCCAGCCCTCTTTTCTCTAGTAAGTATATATGTCCTATAAAAAAAACTAATTTTAAAAAAATCAAATTCTCAAATAGGTGAAAGTAAATTGTGTCTCCACTGGAATTCACACATATATCAAAGCCCTAACCTCCAAATGTAACTGGCCATAGGATCTTTCAGGAGACAGCTAAAGTTAAATGATGCTGTAAGAGTGAAGCCCACATCTGCCCTTCTTCCACACCCACTGCACTCCTGCCAGGGAGATATGTGAAAAAACAGCAACAATGCAGCCTGCTACAAATCACAAAAAGAGGCACAGCTAGAAAACAAACATGACATATGATCTTGGACTTCTGGACCTTCAAAACCACGAGAAAATTTATGTCAAATTCACCAAGTTTATCATATTTTCTTATGGCAGCCCTAGCAGACTGAATCAAAATCTGCATTATAACAAGATTCCCATGTGATCCTCTAATCTTGGTCTTCTGAGACTTAAATGTACTGTTTCTTTTGTCGAAGACACTTTATTTTCACCAACAAAGCCCACTGGTGCCTGCCTTCAACCCATCTTCAAGTCTCAGAAGACACTTCCAAATAGGTTTCTCAATTAGGTGCTCTTCCTCTGTGCTTCTGTATAACTCTGTACTTGCTCCTATCACTTTCTGAAACCTACTTATTCTTCATAATTAATACTTTCTACTTTCATTCTTTCACAGTGACTTACTTTTCTGTGTGTATACCCCTCAACTCTACTCTGCAGGCTAAAGAGATACTGAATTTGTTAACTGCTCTTTCCGCAGTCTGTCTGAGCTGCTGCAACAAAAACCTGAGCCTGTGTAACCTAACAAATAACAAAAACTTATTTCCCCATACTTCTAGAAGTTGGAAAGGCTAATCAAGGTCCTGGCAGATTCCGTGTTTGGTGAGGGTCCTTATAATTTGTCTTTATATAATTGAAGACAGTAGGGCAAAAGGGGTCTGAAAGCCAATTTCTCCAGCCCATTGAGAAGAAAATAGTCCTATTAGGGACAAATCACTTCCCAAAAAGGTCCTCCAACCTCAAGATATATTTTCAAGTAGTAATTTAAAGTGTATAGCAGGGAACCAGCAGTTAGAGTAATGGCTATGTCACTGGACTCCCACGTAGCCGACCACAGTTCGCGTCCCAGACCTGGTGGCTTAAAACTCACGCGGGGTGTGTGTGCGTGTGCATGCGTGCCCAAGATCCCAGAGGAGAATGGAGGAGAAGGGACTGCGGCATGACCATCCCCCCTGGGGGGTGATTTCTCACTTTCTGTCTCTATGTCTCTGTCTGTCTGGCGAGCGCACGCGTCCTATAGCGAAAAAAACCTCTTCAAAAAAATAAAAAATAAAAATAAAGTGTATAGCATGTGCCCTTATAGCAAATTGTTTTTTAAAAACTAACTATAATTAGTATTTTCTTATCACAAGTAACTTCCACATAGTTTTTCACATCTACAAAGAAAACTTCTCATCTCATAGAGTCTTTAAAGACCTCTGCAAGTTGTTGCACTGACCTTGAGAAAATGTGTTCATAATGTGTTTTTGAAACTAGCACTTTTACAGACAATGGAAAGATGATCTACGTTATGCAGGAGAAAAGTCTATTTTGTTAAGGGTACTCTTAATAAAATAAAACCTTTCTATTTTGGCTGATAATTTTAGACTTAAAAAAACTGTGATTTGGGAACCAGTAAGTGGCATGGAGGTTAAGATGCTGGCTCCCACATGGCTGACTTTGTAGTTAAAATCTTGGACCTGGCATATTGAAAATCACTCTGGGCCTATGGACATGCATTCTCTAAAATTTGAAAGGTGAATAAGTAGGGAAGAAGGGATTGTGGGGTGGCCGCTGACCCAGGGGGATAGTGAGATTTCTCACTTTCCCTATCTCTGTGTCTCTGGTGAGCGCATGTGACCTGTACCAAAAACTTTAAAAGAAAAAAAACCTAATTTGTGGGTCAACCAGTGGCATGGTGGTTAAGGCCACTCACTGGTCACCACATGGCAGACTTCATGGTTCAAGTCCTGCACCCAGCAGCTTGAAAAACATGGTGAGTGTATTTGTGTTCATCTCTAAAATCCTGAGAGAATAAAGGAAATACCATCCCTTCAGGAGGTAATTTTTCACTAACTTTTTCTTTCTCCCTCTCCAGGGAACACATGTACTCTAAAGCAAAACTAAACTGTGTTTTGCTCCCTTTTCCTCAGTATAAATGTCTTCTAAAATTAGGCTTAACATGAATAGAGCATTAATAAATTCCCATCCCAGGTACATCAACTAGCTTTGAGCAGTCTAGTTATATTTTAACCAAGACCTTCACACCTTCACTTTTTCTTCTCACTGTGCATGATTCTGTCCAACATACTGGGCCATCAGAAAGGTCATGATGTATTTTTTGGGTTGTTTTTTTTTTTGTTTTTTGTTTTGTTTTGTTTTGTTTTTTTTGCTACAGGATGCATGCGCTCACCAGAAAGAAAGAGAGAGGCAGAGAGACAGAAAGCGAGTACTCACCCCCCTCCAGGGATGGACACGCCACATTCCCTTCTCCTCCATTTTCCTCTCGGGATCTTGGGCACACACGCACGTGTGCCCGGCATGAGTTTAAGCCATCGGGTCCAAGACTTGAACTGCAGTCAACTACATGGGAGTCCCAGCGACATAGCCATTATGCCAAATGCAGGTCCCATGCTTTATGCTTTTTTTGGTTTTTTTTTTTTGAGAGGTTTTCGCTATAGGACGCGTGCGCTCACCAGACAGACAGAGACAGAGAGACAGAAAGCGAGAACTCACCCCCCAGAGGGGATGGTCATGCCACAATCCCTTCTCCTCCATTCTCCTCTAGGGATCTTGGGCACGCACGCACACGCGCCCAGCGTGAGTTTTAAGCCACTAGGTCTGGGACGAGAACCGCAGTCGACTACGTGGGAGTCCAGTGACATAGCCATTATGCTAACTGGTGGTTCCCCCATGTTTTATGTATTTTTAAAATAATTGCCAGGGGCACATGCACACATGGGGGAGGAATAACCCCTCCATGGGGCATGGTCATGCCATAATCTCTTCATTTTTTCACCCTGTCAGAATTCTAGGCACAAGCACACACATGCCTGTAACCAGCACGTTTTTCAAGCTGCCCGGGACCAGTAAATAAACTATTATTAGCCATGTATGATCATGGTTCTCTTACTTGGCTACCAGGACCAGCTCAGTTTTAAATACTTTTTAAATAGTGTTTCCCAAGACTATAAGCTCTATGCAAAGTATCTATTTACTTTTTTTTTTTTTGGTTTTTAACCACTTTCTCACAAGCAACAAAATAAAACTCAAGACGGACTCAAACATGTACTGGACCTCAAATGTGATGCTCTCCCTCTCTGCCAAGTCATTCTCCTAACAAATTTACAGAGTATCAGCTTGTTATAGAGCACTCTGATGAGCCAGTTACCTTGGAGGTTGAATGTTTATGTTTAAATCTATAACCATTAAAAAAAAAAAAAAAAGAACTATTAAAATGCTTGCAGCAGGCACTTCAACATACCATTAAAAAGTATCGTTAATACACAGTTAAGGTAAAATATTAATCATTCAGAACAGACTGTACAATTACTAAGCAAGTCTCATGTTTTAATGTTTAATTCCTACAGATGGTTGCCAGCTTATGTTGGATTATCACTATGATATTGACTGCATTCAATGAAAAATGAAGATTTTATAGGCCAATAACTAGTAACATGAGAATAAGTAGTAAGGTACTGCAGTCTCCTAAAGAAAGCCAAACAAAACTTTTCTTAATATATATAAAATATTCTTCTACTCTAATATAATTAAGCAGAAAAATTATTTACATACTTTTCTTAAGGTTTTTGGTTTGTGGATGTGGCTGAATTCCTCCAACTGGAAGTCCATAGGTGCTTATCCGTTGTACAAGACTTGCTACATTCCCATGCCTTTCCCGTTTGATGGGCAAATTGTCATCCTTAGATTCTGTCTCTCGTTTAATTTCCTATAAAAGGAGAAATACAAAAAGAGTCAAATTAAATTATCTTATTTAAATTCTCAAATGTAAAGTACCAAAACAGCCACAGTGATTAATATGTAAGTCATAATATCAAGTTTTCAACCTTTCACTCTGACCAAACTTATCTAAAGAACAGAAGACAAAACAGTGACTCTTTATGAGTTTGAGTCTTATCAGAACTGAAAATTGAGGTAACAGAAAGAGAGGCTGAAACTCCCCCACACCCCTTCTCTAACACACAAAGAAACTCTGAGCTATACAGATAAACAGTAAGATAAATAATAATTCTCAGTTGTGGGTGGGCAATCTTTTCCTTATTTTTCTTCCCCCTTTTTTGTTTTCTTTTGCTTTGCTTACAAGGGTACTCTGCCCTTGCCAGATGAGAGAGAGAAAAAGAAAGAGAAAGCACTCTGCAATCCCTTCTTCTCCATTCTCCTCTTGGGATTTTGGGAACCTGTGTGTACACATGCACCACAATTTTATCAAGCCACCATCTGGGACTCAACCACACAGCTAGCCATGTGGGATTCAGCTGCCTTAACCACGATACTAACCAGATGGCCCCATCTTTTTTTCTTATGAAGTACCAAATACTAAATGTTTTATGATTTGCAGGCCATTCGATCTCTGTTCCAAAAATCATCTCTGCTTATCACAAGTAACTTCCACATAGTTTTTCACATCTACAAAGAAAACTTCTCATCTCATAGAGTCTTTAAAGACCTCTGCAAGTTGTTGCACTGACCTTGAGAAAATGTGTTCATAATGTGTTTTTGAAACTAGCACTTTTACAGACAATGGAAAGATGATCTACGTTATGCAGGAGAAAAGTCTATTTTGTTAGGGGTACTCTTAATAAAATAAAACCTTTCTATTTTGGCTGATAATTTTAGACTTAAAAAAACTGTGATTTGGGAACCAGTAAGTGGCATGGAGGTTAAGATGCTGGCTCCCACATGGCTGACTTTGTAGTTAAAATCTTGGACCTGGCATATTGAAAATCACTCTGGGCCTATGGACATGCATTCTCTAAAATTTGAAAGGTGAATAAGTAGGGAAGAAGGGATTGTGGGGTGGCCGCTGACCCAGGGGGATAGTGAGATTTCTCACTTTCCCTATCTCTGTGTCTCTGGTGAGCGCATGTGACCTGTACCAAAAACTTTAAAAGAAAAAAAACCTAATTTGTGGGTCAACCAGTGGCATGGTGGTTAAGGCCACTCACTGGTCACCACATGGCAGACTTCATGGTTCAAGTCCTGCACCCAGCAGCTTGAAAAACATGGTGAGTGTATTTGTGTTCATCTCTAAAATCCTGAGAGAATAAAGGAAATACCATCCCTTCAGGAGGTAATTTTTCACTAACTTTTTCTTTCTCCCTCTCCAGGGAACACATGTACTCTAAAGCAAAACTAAACTGTGTTTTGCTCCCTTTTCCTCAGTATAAATGTCTTCTAAAATTAGGCTTAACATGAATAGAGCATTAATAAATTCCCATCCCAGGTACATCAACTAGCTTTGAGCAGTCTAGTTATATTTTAACCAAGACCTTCACACCTTCACTTTTTCTTCTCACTGTGCATGATTCTGTCCAACATACTGGGCCATCAGAAAGGTCATGATGTATTTTTTGGGTTGTTTTTTTTTTTGTTTTTTGTTTTGTTTTGTTTTGTTTTTTTTGCTACAGGATGCATGCGCTCACCAGAAAGAAAGAGAGAGGCAGAGAGACAGAAAGCGAGTACTCACCCCCCTCCAGGGATGGACACGCCACATTCCCTTCTCCTCCATTTTCCTCTCGGGATCTTGGGCACACACGCACGTGTGCCCGGCATGAGTTTAAGCCATCGGGTCCAAGACTTGAACTGCAGTCAACTACATGGGAGTCCCAGCGACATAGCCATTATGCCAAATGCAGGTCCCATGCTTTATGCTTTTTTTGGTTTTTTTTTTTTGAGAGGTTTTCGCTATAGGACGCGTGCGCTCACCAGACAGACAGAGACAGAGAGACAGAAAGCGAGAACTCACCCCCCAGAGGGGATGGTCATGCCACAATCCCTTCTCCTCCATTCTCCTCTAGGGATCTTGGGCACGCACGCACACGCGCCCAGCGTGAGTTTTAAGCCACTAGGTCTGGGACGAGAACCGCAGTCGACTACGTGGGAGTCCAGTGACATAGCCATTATGCTAACTGGTGGTTCCCCCATGTTTTATGTATTTTTAAAATAATTGCCAGGGGCACATGCACACATGGGGGAGGAATAACCCCTCCATGGGGCATGGTCATGCCATAATCTCTTCATTTTTTCACCCTGTCAGAATTCTAGGCACAAGCACACACATGCCTGTAACCAGCACGTTTTTCAAGCTGCCCGGGACCAGTAAATAAACTATTATTAGCCATGTATGATCATGGTTCTCTTACTTGGCTACCAGGACCAGCTCAGTTTTAAATACTTTTTAAATAGTGTTTCCCAAGACTATAAGCTCTATGCAAAGTATCTATTTACTTTTTTTTTTTTTGGTTTTTAACCACTTTCTCACAAGCAACAAAATAAAACTCAAGACGGACTCAAACATGTACTGGACCTCAAATGTGATGCTCTCCCTCTCTGCCAAGTCATTCTCCTAACAAATTTACAGAGTATCAGCTTGTTATAGAGCACTCTGATGAGCCAGTTACCTTGGAGGTTGAATGTTTATGTTTAAATCTATAACCATTAAAAAAAAAAAAAAAAGAACTATTAAAATGCTTGCAGCAGGCACTTCAACATACCATTAAAAAGTATCGTTAATACACAGTTAAGGTAAAATATTAATCATTCAGAACAGACTGTACAATTACTAAGCAAGTCTCATGTTTTAATGTTTAATTCCTACAGATGGTTGCCAGCTTATGTTGGATTATCACTATGATATTGACTGCATTCAATGAAAAATGAAGATTTTATAGGCCAATAACTAGTAACATGAGAATAAGTAGTAAGGTACTGCAGTCTCCTAAAGAAAGCCAAACAAAACTTTTCTTAATATATATAAAATATTCTTCTACTCTAATATAATTAAGCAGAAAAATTATTTACATACTTTTCTTAAGGTTTTTGGTTTGTGGATGTGGCTGAATTCCTCCAACTGGAAGTCCATAGGTGCTTATCCGTTGTACAAGACTTGCTACATTCCCATGCCTTTCCCGTTTGATGGGCAAATTGTCATCCTTAGATTCTGTCTCTCGTTTAATTTCCTATAAAAGGAGAAATACAAAAAGAGTCAAATTAAATTATCTTATTTAAATTCTCAAATGTAAAGTACCAAAACAGCCACAGTGATTAATATGTAAGTCATAATATCAAGTTTTCAACCTTTCACTCTGACCAAACTTATCTAAAGAACAGAAGACAAAACAGTGACTCTTTATGAGTTTGAGTCTTATCAGAACTGAAAATTGAGGTAACAGAAAGAGAGGCTGAAACTCCCCCACACCCCTTCTCTAACACACAAAGAAACTCTGAGCTATACAGATAAACAGTAAGATAAATAATAATTCTCAGTTGTGGGTGGGCAATCTTTTCCTTATTTTTCTTCCCCCTTTTTTGTTTTCTTTTGCTTTGCTTACAAGGGTACTCTGCCCTTGCCAGATGAGAGAGAGAAAAAGAAAGAGAAAGCACTCTGCAATCCCTTCTTCTCCATTCTCCTCTTGGGATTTTGGGAACCTGTGTGTACACATGCACCACAATTTTATCAAGCCACCATCCGCACGCACACGCGCCCAGCGTGAGTTTTAAGCCACTAGGTCTGGGACGAGAACCGCAGTCGACTACGTGGGAGTCCAGTGACATAGCCATTATGCTAACTGGTGGTTCCCCCATGTTTTATGTATTTTTAAAATAATTGCCAGGGGCACATGCACACATGGGGGAGGAATAACCCCTCCATGGGGCATGGTCATGCCATAATCTCTTCATTTTTTCACCCTGTCAGAATTCTAGGCACAAGCACACACATGCCTGTAACCAGCACGTTTTTCAAGCTGCCCGGGACCAGTAAATAAACTATTATTAGCCATGTATGATCATGGTTCTCTTACTTGGCTACCAGGACCAGCTCAGTTTTAAATACTTTTTAAATAGTGTTTCCCAAGACTATAAGCTCTATGCAAAGTATCTATTTACTTTTTTTTTTTTTGGTTTTTAACCACTTTCTCACAAGCAACAAAATAAAACTCAAGACGGACTCAAACATGTACTGGACCTCAAATGTGATGCTCTCCCTCTCTGCCAAGTCATTCTCCTAACAAATTTACAGAGTATCAGCTTGTTATAGAGCACTCTGATGAGCCAGTTACCTTGGAGGTTGAATGTTTATGTTTAAATCTATAACCATTAAAAAAAAAAAAAAAGAACTATTAAAATGCTTGCAGCAGGCACTTCAACATACCATTAAAAAGTATCGTTAATACACAGTTAAGGTAAAATATTAATCATTCAGAACAGACTGTACAATTACTAAGCAAGTCTCATGTTTTAATGTTTAATTCCTACAGATGGTTGCCAGCTTATGTTGGATTATCACTATGATATTGACTGCATTCAATGAAAAATGAAGATTTTATAGGCCAATAACTAGTAACATGAGAATAAGTAGTAAGGTACTGCAGTCTCCTAAAGAAAGCCAAACAAAACTTTTCTTAATATATATAAAATATTCTTCTACTCTAATATAATTAAGCAGAAAAATTATTTACATACTTTTCTTAAGGTTTTTGGTTTGTGGATGTGGCTGAATTCCTCCAACTGGAAGTCCATAGGTGCTTATCCGTTGTACAAGACTTGCTACATTCCCATGCCTTTCCCGTTTGATGGGCAAATTGTCATCCTTAGATTCTGTCTCTCGTTTAATTTCCTATAAAAGGAGAAATACAAAAAGAGTCAAATTAAATTATCTTATTTAAATTCTCAAATGTAAAGTACCAAAACAGCCACAGTGATTAATATGTAAGTCATAATATCAAGTTTTCAACCTTTCACTCTGACCAAACTTATCTAAAGAACAGAAGACAAAACAGTGACTCTTTATGAGTTTGAGTCTTATCAGAACTGAAAATTGAGGTAACAGAAAGAGAGGCTGAAACTCCCCCACACCCCTTCTCTAACACACAAAGAAACTCTGAGCTATACAGATAAACAGTAAGATAAATAATAATTCTCAGTTGTGGGTGGGCAATCTTTTCCTTATTTTTCTTCCCCCTTTTTTGTTTTCTTTTGCTTTGCTTACAAGGGTACTCTGCCCTTGCCAGATGAGAGAGAGAAAAAGAAAGAGAAAGCACTCTGCAATCCCTTCTTCTCCATTCTCCTCTTGGGATTTTGGGAACCTGTGTGTACACATGCACCACAATTTTATCAAGCCACCATCTGGGACTCAACCACACAGCTAGCCATGTGGGATTCAGCTGCCTTAACCACGATACTAACCAGATGGCCCCATCTTTTTTTCTTATGAAGTACCAAATACTAAATGTTTTATGATTTGCAGGCCATTCGATCTCTGTTCCAAAAATCATCTCTGCTATGTGTTAATACAGTCATATACTTGAATAAACTTAGCTAAGATTCAATAAAAAGTTTATTTATGGGACCAGCCAGTGATGTGGTGGTTAAGTTGGCTGGATCCCACATGGCTGACATTGTAGTTTAAGTCCCAAATCCAGAGGCCTTAAAAACATGCTGGATGTGATACATGCATGCCCAAAATCCCGAAAGGAGAGAAGAAAGGATTGCTGCATGGCTATTTAGCCTGAGGAGTAGTTGCTCTTCCTCTCTAGCAAGTACACATGCCCTACAGCAAAACTAAAAAAAAAAAAAAAAAAAAAAAAAAAAAAAAATTTTTTAGCAAAAAAAAAAAAAAAAAAAAAAAAAAAAAGTTATTTATGGACACTAAATTTTAATTTTATTTCAATATTACATGTCTTTCCATTTTTCTCCCTAACCATTTCTAAAATTCTTAGGTAGCATTCTTAGCTCATAAGCCTTACAAAAACAGGTTGGATTGCCCTGCAAGCTGTAGTTTGATAGCCTGTTTTAAGTTATAAGTATAACAAAAGATGTATAAACCATCATGAAAAAAGTATAAACTTTTATGAAAAGATATAAAAGACAAAAAGGAAGTTATACCATGTTCACTGATTGAAAATATCATAAAGGCACCAATTCTCTCTAAAATCAATGTAAAACGTCCAAAAAATATATCAAGGGTTTGGGGCAGCAATTAAATAAGCTAGTTCTAAATTAATACTGAAGAATAAATGACCAAAAATGAGTAGAATATTTCAAGAAAGTAGAACTTTTTTTGTAAAGAATTATTTTATTCAGTTTTATTCATTTGTTCATGTATTTTAATTTGACCAGAGAGAGACACACAGAGAGAAAGAGGAAAGTGAGAAAGCAAGCCACCAGGTGCAGGACTTGAATCATGGTTGGCCATGTGGGAGTGTCCAGCACTTTAACCACCACACCACCTGCTGGTCCCCAAGAAAGCAGAATTTCTTTTTAAGATACAAAGATAAAAAGGAAAATTTTAATGAAACAACAATTAGTGTGGTACGAGTATAAAAACAAAGGCACAGACAAATGAAACGAAATAGCAAAATAGATATAAAAAGATGGAAGCTTAAAATACATGGTGCTTCAAACACTAACGTTCTATATTTGAGAGGTAGGGAACACACCAGAATGCCTACCTCACACATTTGACATTACAATGAATAATTTCTGTTCACTAAAAGTAAATATGAAATTTATTTTAGAAGGCCACTAACCAGAATATAATTTCCCCATACATAATTAACAACTATCATTCCAACCGTATAAAATGATTCTGATTAGATTCTTGGGTAAATAATATAATGTAGTAAAAACTCAAATTATAATTTGTTTCAGAGTTAGAAAGAGACTATGTTCATGTTTTAATATAATATAATCAAATCACCTTAAAAACCAGCCTACAGAGGGGCCAGCAGGTGGTGTGCTGGTTAAGGGCACTGGACTCAACACACGGCCGACCGAAGTTGGAGACCCAGACCTGGCAGTTTCTCTCTCTCTCTCTCTCTCTTTCTTTCTCTATCATATGTTCTCTCTGTCCCTCTGGTCAACATTTTAAAAATAAATAATAAAGTAAAATAATTCTTTAAAAAGAAAAAACTATCTCTGGGATCAGCAGGTGACATGGTGATAAAGGTGCTGAATTCCCACACAGCCAATCATGGTTTGAGTCCAAGACCTGAGAACTTGAAAAATATGCTGAGCAGGTGTGCATGCATGCCCCAAATCTCAAGAGAACAGAGAGGAGATGCATCATGGCCATACCCTTGGGGAATGATTTCTCACTTTCTCCCTCTGTCTCTCTCCAGTGAACATATTCATCCTATGGCAAAAATCTTTAATAAAAAAAATTAAATTAAAAAAATTTGCTAGAGATCAAAACACACATGGAAAGAGAAAAAGGCAGACCAGATTCTACTAGGTTGTCAGAAAAGTCATGACACATTTTGCATAGGAAAAACACATCATGACTTTCCTGACAATCCAATATATATATCCCTGAGTAAGAACTGCCATTATTTCCCACAATAAAAAAGTAGAGAAAAACTATGCCTTATTTTACCAGAGGAGTTTAAGGCTGGTGCTCACTGTAGAAAAGAAGGAATTTTACATAGCCCTCTCACATCTGCCCCTTTCAGACAAGAGAAAAAGAGCTGTAATTTGAAATGTTTACAGCAGTACAAAATAGGTACTAGACCAGCCCATGGCCCGCTGGTTGAAGGCACAGATCCCAGATGGTCAATAGTAAGTTCTCAACCCAGTACCAAAGACTTGAAAAACATGACAGATATGCGTGCATGCATGCCCCAAATTCCAAAAAGACGGAGAAATGGGAAAGGATTGTGACACAGTCACTAGGTGCTTTTTCTCATTCTGTCTCTCTTGACATGTGCTCTTTGGCAAAATGTATTTAAAAAAAAAAAAAAAAAGGTACTACAACAAACCTGGGCATGCCTTCCATCTTATCTCCTTATTAGTTTATTTGTGCAACAAACCTTATACTATGCAAAAAAAAAAAAAAAACCACCTATATTACTACTAAAAGCTATAGATATGCATCAATTTATACAGGTATACATATTAGTTCCCTTTTACCCTCTTCCATCATTTTGTTACATGAAGTCAACCACAGTATAAAAGTGGGCAAGTACAATAAAATAGATTTTTAAATTTGCTATAAGGCACATGCACTCAGTGAAAGAATGAGAGAGGGAAAATGAAAAAGCACCCCCTCCCCTGGGAAATAGATATGCTGTAATCCCTTCCCTTCCATTCCCCTCTCCAGAAATTAGGTGTAGGCATACATGCATATACACCCAGAATGTTTCTTAAGCTGCTGGTCCAGGATTTAAAACACTCAGTTGCCAATCTGGAATCCCACTTGCCTTAACCACCATCCCACTGGCTGGCCCCCACCCAGGGTTTTGTTTTTGCTTTTGTTTTTAAATATTTATACCATGTGCTATACATAGAAAGCACCAGATGCCTAAAGTAAGTAGTACATCTAATATAAAATGCTAATACAAAACAGGGTTAACTCCTCTACTGAGAAAGAATAAATGAGAGTTACCAAGACACAGGGAAAAGAATAGGAAGAGTGTCCAAATAGGAAACAAACTGTGTAGGAGTAGACCAGAGGCAATGGAGGGCTCAGGGCTGCTGAGAATCCATATTAACACTGTAGTTTTTATTTTCTACCAACATCACTTCCTTTCCTGCCTTCAAAAATTACTCCAGGAGACCCAGTTTAAAAAAAAAAAAGAATCACCAGGGCAGTAGGCAGCATGAAGGTTAAGGTGGCTGGAGCTCACATGACCAACCTGCATAGCTCAAGTCCCAGGCCCTGCAGCTTGAAAACACACCAGACACATGTGAGTGCATGCCCAAAATCCCAAGAGGAAAATATAGGAGGAACTGCATTGTGGCTATCCTCTCTGGGGGAAGATTTTTCACTTTCTCTTTTTCTCTCTCTCTCTGTCTCAGGTGGACACACATGCCCTATAGCAAACATTAAAAAAATAAAAAGTTTTCACTTTCAAAACAACCACATATAGACAAAGTAAACTGAAAAATTCTCTCCAAATAAGGAGTTACAATACGTAGTATCAATATGAAACTGGCCAAGAAATAAATATAACATGGATGATCTCTGTACAGTTAAGAATGTACTTATTGAGGGACCAGCAGTTGGCGTAATCGCTATGTCGCTGGACTCCAGACGTAGTCTATCGTGGTCCTGGACCTGGTGGCTTAAACTCACGCCGGGCATGTGTGCGTGAGTTCCCGCCCAAGATCCCAAGAAGAGAATGAAGAAGGGACTGCAACGTGGCCATCCTCCCTGGAGGGTGATTTCTTGCTTTCTGTCTCTCTGTCTCTCTTTCTGGCGAACCCACGCATCCTACAAAAGAATGTATTTGTTGACTGGTTTAGTCTCATAGACAAGGAGTAGTAAGTAGTCTAATAGAGGAGGATGAAAAATATAAGCAGATTAATAGTGAGCTAAAATGTTAGTGAAGACATAACTGTTCTTCATCTTATCAGGTAATTAAAGATACTAACATACTAACCAAAATAACAGAAAACTAAAAAAATAACAAAATTGACAAACCACTCTTTAGAGTATAATTTGGTTATTTGAGCAAGGCCAGTGAAATACCATGGTATGAAAAGAGAAGGCAATTAACATGTATTTCATAGAACCAAAGGTCACAAAGAATAATAAAAACCAGGTGAAATGGCAAGAAATTTCTTTTTATTTCTCAAATGAAAGAGACACCTTGTCATCAAATTCCTAAAAAAAAAAAA